TTGGAGTAGTGGAACGGTTAATAATGTACACACTTTAATCATTATTCATTTGAAATTAATAAGAGCGATACTCTTTAATGGTTACACATGCGTGCGTAAACAGAGTTGCTTCCTCTTGCTAAACATTGCCCTTACTTGTTATCGTCCGGAAATAACCGTCCAGTGGGGAAACCTGTTTTTGCCAAAGGCTCCAAAAGTAAAAATGCGGATATTTCTGTCAAAATGCTATTTTAATATTTATACCGGGAGGTACCCTTAAACTTATAACAATGTGTCTACGTACATGTACATTTTTATTTTCACATCTAAAATTCCATCAGCTGTAGATTACCATTTGTTGAGGAGATGAACGAAAAAATAACATTTTTAAAGCCTTGTTATTGTTAAAGCCTTGTTAAACCGGAGTATCCAGAGAAAAACCACATGGTCGAGCAGGTGACAGGGATCCAATCCAGCCAACTTGGTGAAGACGAACGCACTATCCGCCATCCGACCCAACGTATAAGTTACGCACAAGAACAAATATCTACTTAAGTTTACACGGAAAAAAGGTAAGGAAAAACTCAAATACTTTATATAAATATTATTACCAATTTTGGGAGGGTAGAAAGATATGCGGACTTTTTGTAAACGGAATTGCTACTTATTTACGGTCAAACGTGTATCACACTGAGAGCTTCAAATGAAACAGTTGTGGGACCGCACAACGCACCAAAAATAGCGTGCGCACACCGTGCATACATCGTTCACACACAGTCCGCACATCGTCCACACATGGTGCGCACAACTGTGCGATTTAGCAATCGTTCGCCCCGTTGTGCGCTTCTCTCCGCACAACTGTGCGATTTGGTATCATTTGTAGATCAAAATTACGGAATGACAAACATACGGAAGGCTTGTATCCGATAATGTACACTGTGTATATATCTGTAATTTCTCATCACAATAATCAAGATTATACAATTTCACAATGCGTGTTACACAGTATTACAGCGACCGTTAGGCTGTCAAGAATGGGTTTGGCTCCAAGGTAACAGAACAGGTAAATAACAATTTTATGAGTGTCCGGAGTTTTACCTGACCAGTGCCTGACACACAGAGCTGATATGCGATACCGTTTGACCGTAATGAATAGTATTTGTTATTTGCATTCGCTTGCCTATAGCTCCCCTTCACCTGGATTTTCACACCCCGGCCTTACCCGACGAGTTACGTAAATGCCCCAGGCGGGGAGAAAACTACGGTCCAGGTACATGTACAAAGTGGTTATGTTTACCTGTATACGGGATTGTGTTGTAATTTTACATGTGTCGATTAAGTTTGTTTAAAAACACAGAAAACACAATTCCTAAATATAAGAATATATAGACGGAAAGATAAGTTTATAGATGTTGCTAGAATATAGAAACATACGTAAACATCAAGTTTATATGTTTAAACACGAAACCGTATAAATTGTTAAGGCATTCCTCAATTTACACCAACCACGATTGTTATCGCACAACGTCCGTCCATCGTGCACACATATGTGCGCAAGCAATGATCGTTCAGCTTTTTATCGTTCGCCCATCGTGCGCACACCGTTCACACACCGTGCACACATCGTGCGCACATCGTGTAACGTTGTGCGATCCCACAACTGTATACATAAAAGCCCAGTCTAGCACTTTCTATCGTATTGCTGTACTTTAAGAATTTATTGAAATATCAATCTGGGCCCGGACAGGTTCGGCCCATGATACCGTGGCAAGTTTGGCCCATGCAACACATACAAATCCGTAAAATTTGCTCGAAAATCTGACGTTGCATGTTTTATGACGTCATACTTTAAGCTGATTCCAATTTGTGCGGAACTTACCCGACTGCCTGTCCAAACTTACCCTATAACGGGGCTCGTTCGGCCATCCGATCTTCCAACAGGAAAAGTTAAATATCATAGTTTTAAAAAACGGTCGTGCTGCCATACTACCCTGAACGCCTTAAAAAATAAATATGAGTCGAACTTGCCCCGATTTCCCCTGATTGCTATGTCGGTTTTATAATCTTATTATAACTTGTGTGTTTTGTGTTTTAATATATTAAATATTATATCAAGAAAACCTAACTGTTTCTTTGTGCCTTGTGACGTGTATTCAATGATACATTGTAGCATGGTCATTGGGAGTCGACCTATTCATCGGGACAACGAAAGCCCAACCGTGTAAATAAAAAAATATATAAGAATGTGTCATTTCTATTTATAGATAGAGGACATGTATCTTGTATTCATCTATTGAAATTTGGTGTTGGGATCTTGATACTTCAAGACCTACAACTGTGAACTGTTTATGTGGAATCTGATCAAAGAAGGCACTCGTCTTTATCGTTTGGCGTTATCAGCACTGTCAGTGGGGACAGTGCACAGTTAACAGTGGTTCTCTTTACAGGTGCGTGCCAATTGATATTAAAACCTGATCAAACATCTTCTGCCAATGGATCATGTATTAAGAACAAGAGATACACACACCTTTGCAGATCTAATCTCGTTTACTATTTGATGAGTACAGCAGGATACCACCAATATATTGCTAACATTGGTATTTAACTTATACAACAGAACATGTCTACCTTTTTCGGTCTGTGTATCTGCCTTTATAAAATGTTTTTTTGTCTTTTCTTTCAATATCATGAATAACACCGGATGAGTTGAAATCCAAGATGATCGGGCTCATAACATGTCACAAAATGTCATCAGCTTTGCTGAAGGCCAGTTATTGAAGCTACAGTATTGAAGAAGAATATGGCAGGGACCTATACCTAGAAACAAAAAATGAAGACATAAGAAACACTGTTGATTTAATATCATCAAAGGTTTCTATTTTTCTGAACTTAAAATGCTTTTTGATAAATATGTAATGGATAAAAAAAAATTGTGACAGATTATTTAAATAGTATTTTAGTTTATAATTACGAATGCAAACGAAATTTATCAGAGGATTGACATATAGGTGAATGAAGGTTTTTGTCGGAAGTTAACTTACAAATGTAAGATATATGTAAAGAGAGAATAGGCTGACCGCTAGGCCTTTCATCCCCCTTGGACTGAGTAAGCCCTAGAAATATGAAAGGCCTAACGATCTGTTTTGTGTGTTTGTTGTTTTATTCTAGTATTTTCCTTCATAGGGGCTCGTTACTCGACAGTACAGGTACAGAAATATGTGTTGTTTTTATCGCTTGATAGATACTGTATGTATCACAGGGTTATGTCCCATCCACTACTGACAAGTTTGTTCAGAACACACATTACTTATATGAGTTTATACAGTATTATTAGAACTGCTCAATGTAGTGTCGTTATGAATACCGGTACGTAAATTCACTTGACAACTTAAGTATGTGATACGCCAAAATGCATGTTGCACGTGTAGGAATGATAGGTATTGTCTAGACTGTGTAGGTCAGTAAGTAAAGCTCTTGCTATTCGTAGATAGGTATCTACCGTTTCCTAGCAGGATGTGTCTGTACAAGCTGTATGGGAATGATTCTGCATCTCTGATAACACTTTGTAATAGCTGTGTAAAATGCATGTTTCTCTACGTTGATAGGAACCTGTCATGAATAATTTATAAGGAATCGCCCTGTTTTCTATCGTGTATACTTGTCACGAGAAGAATGATAGGGGTTATTTTGAATATACTTTAAGTATGATGGTTCAAAACTACAGGAACGTATTAGCTTTAATGGACCAATATCATCTGATCAATTATTTATTTGTTTTGTCGCCACTAATCAACCTGCAGCATGTGCTATCGTTTACATGCACGTGTATAGTAGTTGCTAGTTTAGAGCGTACGGTGTACGCACTTGTCTGCAGTTTTCACATTTCTGATACAATCGCAAGAGTCACGTTTTGGCTGAAGATATATATTAAGAAATCTCGTTTATTTTTAGATAATTCTCGTTCGGCTTGTTGTGATATAATGCCTCAGATCTTCGGTTAATTTTTCCAGCTAAAGATAAATATATATATAATCATAGCGATAAAAAAATGGTTATGGATACGTGCTTCTAGTTACTGTTTCTGAGGTTTCAAACCGAAACTAAATTGCTCTTTCTCCTAAAGATAAAATCTAGTGCACTACGGAAATTTCATTCTGACTATTAGTTAGATGTAATTCATGTATTGGCTGTTGCACTATGTATTTGAAAGCAATATTGAGCATGTTCCATTATTATTCGCATGTTTAAGTACGAAGTATGGGAAACATTTCCATGAAGTTAGAAAAATGCTTGCTGTTTCAATGTCGAATGTCTACTTCAACAATCATTTTCAGGATTTCTGAGTGATGTAAAGAATTCCCCTTTTACATGATAACGAAACTATCGATCAGACCTAGCTAAAAGTGATCCATTGATATATGAATAGTAGAGCCGAAAGCGGTTTAAACATGACAATATGGCGATATACGTAATAAACACGGAGTTTAATACACAAATTATAAACACCATGCGTTTTCAATTAATTGATCATTATCATCTGTGATATGTTTGAAATATCTTTTACGTGGGTCTTATTTCTAGTATGAATTTAATGAATAAATAGAGGAAGTGCAGTTTGTGTTCTCTGAACTACTTTTCTTTTTATCTGAAACTTAAAACAGATTGACGCTGGTGGGAAAGCATCCATGGTACACGGTACACTACTGTGGCAGTTGATTAAAAGAAACATGCATCTGTTTTACATAATCATATACAAATATACAGGTAATGTTTTCCTTTTCCTTTATTCCCAGCACTACATGCGACTCATTATGACCGAAATTGATCTTAGTTATAACAGATATCCACATAAAGGGGCGTCAATATTCAAAACAACTGTTTTTAATTTTAAATTGTAGTCCCATAACGTCATATAAAAAACAAACAAGTCAGTGAATAAGAACAATAAATATACATTTTATTAAAAACAATTTATATATATATATATTTAAATATATCATATACTTCCTCTATCTCTCTTCCAAACAACATTTTGATTCAAAAAATGTAATCACCAATGCAGTCTTTTATTGGCTAGATTCACGTATCACTGATGCGTTTTCCATTTCTGATATCTCCATGACATCAACAACAATTTTACAAATTGTATGGCGTCGTGAATTAAGAATGACGTTACAGTGACTTCCCGCTCTATCTCTATTCGACGTCGCTCGAGTCTGTTTGAGGTCTTCGTGCCTTAAGGAGCTCCAAACTCTTTTAGGGAACCTGCTCCTTTTAAAATCGTTCATATTTCCCTCACTCCTTCGCAATGTGCTAAGTCGCCGAAAAACGACGCTGTCTCGCGTTACTCGGCTATTGGTCCTATGAAGTACGTCTTTAATACAATGGCAACACGGAAACCACATGTAGAACAGGGTTAAAAGGTCCGCCTAGGTGGGAAAAAAGACACAGGTTAAAGCATAATGATAATTGACCAATGTCCTTCTAATTTAGCAACTATGCTTGCATTTCTAAAAACATCGAAAACATTTTTACCAATGCCATTCAAAACAAAAAAACTGGAGCGGACGCTCTGCTCCAAATATTAAACACGCACTGAGCTTAAGCTTAAGTGTCTGCTCTGAAGCACATCTATGCAATAAATCTCAAACTCAGCTTTAATTCGTTATATTGAGGTCTGTCAACGTATTTTGGAATTGTCCTTCCCCTGTTTTATAAGAAACGTTCCCAGACTAATGTGATGTGAATATCACTCGCACCAGACGGTAACTATTCGTACAGAAATGAACTGCTGACACTCATGCATGGGTGTGTATACCAGATTACAGACCATTGCATACCGCACCGTATGTCCGTCCAGTTCAATTTACGTCCGCACAGCAAGGTGTGTGTGTTTGGGCTTATCATCATGCTTCATATAACTAGTGTTACCTAAAATATCACATTTCCTGTTTGACTTATCTCAGTAGTTTGTCAGGGACACGTGGCGTGACCGCGGGACTAATATCGATCCATTAGAAATTCATGTATACGCCGTTATCAGTCCGTTTAAAATTACATTCCATGTCAACTTTTGATTAAATACATGTATAAAGAAATATTTCAGGGGTGATTTATTCCACACCTCAAACCCCGTATAACCTCGTGATAGATTTTGTGAATTACCGGTTTGTAATCTATTAAATTCAACTAGCAGCGAGCCTGTTGTATTGCTCTTACAATGTACGATCATTTTTTTTTATGCAAAATTGTCGATTTTGCAAGATTTAGCACAATTATGTATGGTTTTTGTTTTATAAAACCAAGCTGTTATGAATAAAAGATGATACAAAGTATAAAGTGTTGATATTTTATTTTCATGAATTCCGTTAATTATCGGTGAAAAAGGAATTTTTATATTTGGAATTTGGAATTGTCATTTCTTGTTTTAGTGATAAGGAAGTTTTACTACAGGTTCAGACAAAGCGTTACAGTCGTATATCATTATACCTTCTGTAGGTCTTGCTGTGCAAGACACTCAATTTCACCATATCGACCGTTTGATTTTATCATGTAGCTAAATCAAGAAAACTTCCCAATACTTCATTGATTAACCTTATCTAGATATAAAAATAATCGTGTGTCCTAGCTTTTACGGACCAGACAACTTCCGGTCTGGGTATATCTACATTCGGAAAAAAGAGGGATTGTATTTTCCGGTAAATTTCTTCCGGTAGTAAATGGAATGATACGAAACATGTCTTATACAGATAAGACTTGTATTCAAATGAGAACAAATCAATCTAAATATTGACCCACTGACTATGATATATTACATTTGATTCGGAGGCTTAAGTGTCACATTAATTAAAGAAATATATTTAAATTTCGTGAGTGGATTTCAAATGCAATAATCAAATAGCGAAACGAAAATGCTGGATAAAATGAATAGCATTGGTGATAAGCATGTTTTTTTTATTTGAATAAACATTTTTGGATATGAGTGATAATATAGTCTTCTTTAAAACAATTCTAACAGTTAATTAATTCCATTCTACAATTTCAGAACCAGCAATAAACTGTTTCCATGGTCCTTGTACTGCTGACCTAACTATAGTCACGGAGGCACGGCAGTCTAGTGGTAGGACGCCGGGCTCGTGACCGAAGGGTTGCGTGTTCGAGTCACGGCACAGTACTGTGTTGTATCTTTGAGCAAGATACTTTACTCCGCTTGTTCCAGTCTACTCAGCTGTAAATGAGTACGTGACTGGGCAGCGCTAGAATTATTGAACGCTGGCTGTTAGCGCCGAAATGGCAGCTCCGGCTGTATGCTACCCAGGGATTTGAGAAAGATATTGGCTGGTTGCAAAGGCCCTACAACCACGGATAATATTTTGTGAACCGCTTTGAGACGATCTACGACCTAGGTTGTGATAAAGCGGTATATAAAGAATCTCGAATTATTATTATTATTACAAGCTAACCGGTAATAAGATTTATATATATATTTTAAATGCCGCCGTGACTATTCTCCATAATTATGTTTATTGAAGATTTAAAAGAAACTGTGGTTAGGTATACATGTAGCAAACACTAGTGAAAGCAATTGTGGTTTTTTTTTTTATAAAAGCAATGGATAAAGTCTTGAGTGTAATCAGCCCAACAGAACTCAAAATATAAGTAGTGCATTGTATAAACTGATTCTCTATTCATATAGTAACAGTGATAGAGACCTAACACCCGGGCCTGGAAAGTTATCCCAAGCAGGCACTTTCTTTGAGGAAGCACTGTATAAAGTCAAGAGTGTAATCAGCCAGAGAAATCAAGATATTGTGCATTAGTGCATTAAACATATTTTCTAGTTATAGTGACCCATTGACCTTTGACCACTGGACCTGAAAAGTTATCTCAAGCAGGACTTGAAAAAAACTGAGTGTAATCAGTCCAACAGAATTCGAAATACAGTGCACAAACTGATGTTCTATTTATAGTAAGTGACCTTGACCTTTGATATCAAAGGCTGAAAAGCTATCCAAAAGCTTAAGCAAACATTTTATTACGCTGAATAAAGTCCACGTATGCACACACACAAGGTTCTACACTTAAAGTTGATAAATTGACTTTAATATTCATGTTTTTTCCGTATATTATTACCATCTCCATAACATATTGGATGAAGTTGCTAAGTGTTTAAATTGAATCATTTGATGATTTTCTATATAAAGCAACAGTGATATTTGGCCTTGACCTTGGAACCCCGAAACACAACAATGTCCAAAGTATACTCATACTTGACCTTTGCATAAAGTTTGACCAAAATCCATGAACGAATGAAGTTGGTAAGTGTTTAAATTGAATCAGTTGTTGATTTTCTATATATAGCAACAGTGACCTTGACCTGACCTTGGAACCCTGAAAAACAAGGGTATACCCATACTTGACCTATGTATAAAGTTTGACCAAAATCCGTGAAAGAATGAAGTTGCTAAGTGTTTAAATTGAATCAGTTGATGATTATCTATATGTTGACCTTGGATCCCTAAAATACAACGATTTATGAAGTATACTCATACTTGACCTTTGTATAAAGTTTGACAAAAAACTGTCAAAGCATGAAGTTGCTAAATGTTTACATTGAATCGAGACGGGACGCGACGGGACGGGATGATTTTCTGTATATAGCAAATGTGTCCTTGGCCTTGACCTTGGATCCCTGAAATACAAAGATGTCCCAAGTATACCCATACTTGACCTTTGTATAAAGCTTGACCAAAATCTGTCAATGAATGAAGTTGCTAGGTGTTTACATTGAATTGGGATGCGACGCGACGCGACGCCAGATGCCGTACCAGGGCAAAAGATCACTTGTCCTTGGCAGGTGAGCTAATAACAGATAGAAGGACAGACAGACGTAAAATCTTATTACTAAAGATGTGCAGGGGTCCTAACAACAAATTGTGTAATTGAATTGGAGAGTCCCCTTTGGGACCCCACTCCTCCCCCTAGAAAGCCGGAGTATTATGAGAGAGACCCTCTGTTAAACGGCATTCAGTCTTTTTAACCAAGTAATGCTCCAGACCATTGGTTTAAAAACATCATCAAGCCATACAGAAGGACTTCAAAGGATGTACTGTATCAGGTTATGTATGTCCTCGCAACAGCGAAAACTGCAATTCGAAGGAAGTGCATGTGTTGATGGAAAAAATCACAGTTACTTATAAGAATTTCCTATGTGCAAAGGGCTATAACTCCAGAAAAAATAGAACATGGACACTGGATTCTAACTCAAACTGTAATCCATTATACATGTATACTAAGTTACAAATAATATGGAAAACAGTTAATTATGAGAATTTCCTATGTGCAAAAGGGCCATAACTCCGTCAAAAATGGAATTTTAATACATGGTTCAAACTCTGTAATCTATTATGATAAAGCCACAAACAAAGTTTCAAATTGATATGGCAAGCGGTAGCGAAATAAGTAAAAAAAAAAGTTTATTTTGATAATTTCCTATGTGCGAAGGGCCATAACTCCAGCAAAATAAATAATATTAACACGGGGTTTTAACTCAAACTGTAATCCATTATGACAAAGCTACATATTAGGTAACAAATTGATGTTGCAAGTGGTAGCGAAAAAACTTTCGGAAAACATTAATTATGAGATTTCTTATGTGCAAAGGGTCATAACTCCAGCAACAAATGAAATATTGACACAGGGATTGGACTCTAACTGTAATCCATTATGATAAAGCCACATACTAAGTGGCAAGCGGTAACGAACAAAGTATGGCAAACAGATAATTATGAGAACAATTCCAATGTGTGAAGGGCCATACATGTAACTCCAGCAAAAAAATAAAATATTGGCACATGTTTCGAAATTGATCTGTAATCTATTATGATTAAGCCACATACAAAGTTACAAATTGATATGGTAAATGGTGGCGAAACAAAGTCTGGAAAACTTAAATGTGACTGCCGTTGCAANTGAAAATTGTTTGACTCATATAATCTTAATGTACTCTAAGTATTTGTGCAGTTACTTGAAGTAACAAACTATATCCGATATATAACAGAAAGGAATGTGAGGAAATCATGTGAGGGACACAACTCACATAAATATTATCCAAAGGAAGACAATCAATCATAACTGCACAAATACTTAGAGTACATAGCAAGTGTTCCTAGTTTAAAACAGAGAGTATGAGTATTACTTGAAACAAATTTTAACTTATATAAGAAATAATTTTCAGGGACACCATCTAAATGAATATTAATTGTTTGATATAACAGTCGAGATGCATTAAAAATCCTCCCCACACGGAAAGTAAAACAAACATTACAATAAAATGTTCAAACCTGGCCTGCATGGTGGAAAGTTTCACCTTGGGGTCTTTTATAACTTTCAGCTTTCTTGTCGAATTTTGTGCATTTTTAAATATCTCCCATTCTCATCAGATGAATATGAAGTGCATAACAAATAGAAAAATAAAGTATGATAAACTGCCAGAATAAGGTGTATAGGAAAGCAAACAAAGGGGCACAACTCTTCGAGATCGAGAAAATCCAGTCCTTACTTTCTTCTATTTTTAGGATGCCTCTACACCAAAGACAAATAACTTTGGCTACTTCAACTTCTGACAGGTCAATGACCCTTGATGAGACTTATTTAGCTGTCAAAAGTCAGACCAAAAAATACTGCAGTACAATTTTATGTCAACTTATGTATTATTCGATTTGAACACCACTGTAAATATGAATGTTGAACAGAAATATTTTAACATTTAAGCGAACACATTTTTTTTTTTACAATCCTTTTAATCACAGATTTAGGGAATAAAGGGTTTAAATATTGTTTGTTGGTGTTTAGTGGATCGAACACAGTATTCTAAAAGATATGATTAAGGTTTCAGACTCTTTTCGGTTATCAGCATCCTGTGAGGAAACTCCATGTATTGTAGCAGAAAAATGTCAACAAATAATATGAAGTGTAGTGCAGTTGATATAGAAAGTTCAATTCCTGCTATATATTTGTAGTAAAGTTGTCAAAGAATCAGATATTTGGCAGACCTTTCTTAAATACATATGGCTTAATTCCTATCCCTTATACAGAGAACAGTGTGGAAATATAGATGAACTGAAGGTATTGAAAATAACGTCAGGTAATTCGGGTAAAACGGACTTCCATCATGATTTTACATATTCATAATGTGTTTATACAGTCTTTTAATATTAACGGCTATCAAACCCGTGCTCCTGCTTACAAATAAATGCTATGTCCCAATCACCTGCCCTCTGGACTGGTTTTTAAGTAAGTTGTTTTAGTGACAAATTTTGTACAGCATGATTATTTAGCCTCTCTATCTTAATCCTTCCAACGTAGGTATCTTGTGATAAAAAAATTGTTGTTTACCTTACACTGTTACAATGTTTTATATATATCTATATATGTTTGTCGAAATACAAGCTCCTGAGAGGTTATGTTAACTATGACATTTATTCAACGTAAAATAATGATTCTTATATCTTGTATTTTGAAGTAACATGCCACTATGCTTTTATCCGATAATTTTAAGATAAAAAAACCCACACACAAGCTTTTAATCACGAACTTTTCCTCGAATGCGCCTATGTATAATCATCGGCACGATGAAGGACACAAGTTAAGGTATACTGTTGATACCGACATGTACAAATGTATGTAAAGTGTAAAACGAAAAAGAATATAGTAAATAATTGATAGTAAATTTATCAAAAACATCATCCTTAGAGAGTAGGTTCTGGGCATGATAGTTTAGAAGCTTTGCAATACTTCAAACTCTTTCAAACGAACATCAGCTCGAGATTAGGCACCTGTTTACACAATGGCGACTGGAAGTAGCAAGGCGGATTAAATTGGAACTTCAATTGTGAATATTTCGGCAAGTAAACATTGTTCACAAAGCCCATGTGCTATGTTCATCTAATTTAGCCAAGATGTACTCAGACCAGTCGTTGTGTCGCCGCTAGGGTCATTCACAAAAAAACTGGTATTATTATATAATCTTATTGTAATTATTATATATGTTTCATTTTATTTCAGCCATCCCACGTGCTACAAATGTACATCGAAAGTGTCTTTTACACTTTATACACATGTAGACACGTTTCAACACGAGATTTTCCGAGTTCACATTGGTCTAGGTGTACATGTATAGACGATGATCTGAACATTACCTAGGGTTTTAATGCATGATCCCTGTGAAATTCAGATATATTGAGTCGGGTTTAAAGACTATTCGATGAATATAAATGCATAGCTATATAATAAATACTATTTTCTGAATCATTCTGCTGTTTTATATGTTTTCCTTTGACTAGTAGAATCTTAAGTTAAGGCACAAACAGCACCGTGTGTTATTGTTGCAACTAGATAATGATAATGTAACATTCAAAGATATCGATGTCAATACGTAAGCCTCAATTAGACATTGACATCCAACAGACGAACAAATGCCTGCAAATATATGAAAGAAATGTTAACCTTAAAACGCCGAGACTTTTGTGACCAGACGTTTTAATTACGCCCGTTTTTGTCAACTGAAAATCAATTTACAAATGAAAACTTTTGTTACAGATACGGCAATGAAGAATTTGAGATACACCTTTACTCAACATACCAACAAAACTGTAAAAAATAATATACATACCCTAAAACTTTCGTTTGTAAAACCATAAATGATTGGGTTCGCAAAGCTGTTCGACATGGCGAGCCAATGAGAGCCGAGATAGATCCCAAGTACGGTCTTTTCGTCTTCGGCGGAAGTGTAGTTGAGCACATCCGGGTAGAAATCCGTGACTATGATGAATATGTGTAATGGCAGCCAACACAAACCAAACATGGCGACGACGATGACCAGCATCTTCACAACCTACAAAACACAACATACTGTTTTTGTGAGGCAAAACATAATACTGGATAAGTGTAGCCAGCCAAACAATTAAAGTCTATCGATTTTAAATGAATAATGAAAAATATATCAATATTTTTTTATATTGTGAATGTCGTAATGCAATGTGTTTCTGCAGACATTTGCATTAAAACCGTTCCAAGTAAAAAAAAAATATTTTCCTTTCGCTGTTGTTCGTAATCGTTGAGCGTTTTCTAAGTTATATATAGATGTGTGTGTGTGTAGGTATGCTAAATGTCCTAGTTTGGAATCCACTTTGTCAATCTTCTATATTTCTACCTTCACGAGGCTTTGTGGTTTGGTTTTGGCTGTTGACCAAATAGCTATTGCATTACATGCCTTATGAATAGTAAACATGCAATAATTCGATTATATAATTGCTTTATTGTATTAATGGTCAATCTTATTCTTATAATGGAAAAATCGATAGTTACATATTATGTTACGTATTGAAATGCTGTTGTAGAATGTCTTCTTATGCAAAAATTAATAGCATTGTTGTGGTTGTATAGAATGTGACAAACAATACCGAATCGGCCGGTTCTACTTGACTATTTAATAAACCATGAAACTGCCGTATTTCGTCACAACAAAGTTGTATTCTTTGAAATATTTTGTTAGGAATACAAAAGATTATAGTGATCATTTTGAGACAAGCTGTGAATGTTTCTATTTTGCTCACATATTGCTGCTAAATTAAGTTGTGTTTCGTTTTGTAATTATACCCGAAACACGCGGAAACTGCTTAACTGTTAACAGTTTACCATACGCCGCTCCTTGGGTGACCGCCACTATCTAATCAAACAGGAAGTTAATCTTTGTGGCACGACTATTCCCGTGGATTATTAAGTACAGACTTTTTTTATCGCACATGCCGGAAAATTTCGGAAACGGCCCCTTATCCATCACTTTAACACGAACTGCTAGGTAAACAGACAGCCTACCAAAACGTTTGAGGGAATTGTTCTGTAAATAATTAAAAGCGTGAACCAATTCGATATCCTCAGAAGCTTCATATGCATTTTTGCAACGTTATCAGAAGATTTGGCGCACGGTCTGTCATAATGTGCCGACAACTCTGTATAGTTTTATATTTAACTGCCCAATAAACTGCTCAATATTATTACCGTATACATATAGCTTCAATTAGCAGAGATGATTACCATAATTCCACATGGCAATCAGATGTTAAATAAAGATTCATCGAGCAGGTATGCTGCTGACATTATGTTATCTTATTTTGATTACAGAGGGAAACTCAAGGATGCCTAATAAAATGGGGTCAATATCTTAATGAGTAAAACGACAAACAGAGAATGCACGTATAGATATTAAAAAACAGGGTTACTTTTGATATAAATTTAAATGGACATAAATCAATTGGAAAATATACAATTTCTCTAATTTGTCTAAGATGAACGGAACACACATGTCAAAAAACAAAACAGATGATGCTGGCGCTATACCCTTTTGTTAAAAAAATATTTGATACCTTAACATATCCAATTTGGTGTTTTTTAATGTAAATTGTATTTGCAACAGTAATGAATTTTCACCTAACCGTATGCCATAGGGGTATATATTTATTAATTGCGTACTTTGCATTCTTTATATAGAAAAGACTTTTAATTTTGCCCTTCTCTGTTATGTGTTTTTGTTTTTGTTGATGTTATTGTACCCTTAGCTGTATATATAACATCATTAGTCAAGACGTTTTATATCTGGGAACAAAACTATTTTTATTTGACAATTACTTGTCATTTGTGATTCAGTATTTATCTTTTCAAAACCATCGCCAATATGTTCCAATTTATACCAAATACTAAGGAATTTTCATCAGAAAGATAATACAGACGTGGCAGACGAACACAAAATAATTGACACAACCATGCTAACTTTGAAAACGGATTATCAAAAAGAGATGGCAACTCCACTGGTATTTTATTTAAACAGTTTTACGGGAAGGAATGTGGAGAAGTTCAGATACTACCAATACAATTACAGCACTGACACTGCTCAAAGGTCCTAGCGACTCTCGGAACATTGGGATAATGATGCGATACTTGAGATGATATAGACTGTATGTACAATGTTAAGTGGCGTTTAGATGGGGGAGGTTTTATCAGATAAATACTTTCATTGAAGTTTAATCTCATTTCATTCGTACACGATTTAAACACAAAAATAATCAAAATAAAGTATACACAAAATATGCGAGATCTCAAAGTAAGCCTATTCAAGTCTTGTGAGCTTTTCAGAAACAATGGATAAATGAATACTGCAGAACATTCGATCAAACCCGTCCTTTAATGTGCTATGAAATAGTCAGACTGAAGAAAGTTGTTTTTACTAAAGAAGCGACTTCTTATCTTATTACAGTGATTGCCTATTAATATCGTCTTTGAACTACTTAATTATGGAGTGGAGTAGGCGGTCCATCGTTAATCCAGCCATATGGTTGTATCATAGACGTTACATTGATTAAGTTAGTAGAATGTTGTTCCAACAATTTTCCACCTGTGAACCATTTCTTCCTTATGAAAAGACACGTGTCTAGCAAACAAAATACAGAGATTTGTTGGACAAGTAAGTACACCTGTCGGACTTAAAAGTATATGTAACTTCAATGTATACAGGATATGTCTCTCCCAAAAATAAACATTAGTATTGTGCACAAAGAGCAAGTTTGTGCTTGTCAGATAGCAAAAGGACTATCATGAACGAGACAAATGTTACTAATAGTTATAATAATTGGCGGAAATTTTAGTGAAGTAGACATATAATGATCGGCGCTGAAGTGAATGTGTTGAATGTGCTACAGTTACCAGCAAGCGTTTCAGTGGAAGATTATCTAGACACAAGTTCCTGTTCAGTATTTTTATAACACACGCTCCTCTTGAATTGTTTTTCACCAAAAACGTTTTTCGACACTCTTTGTGTATCAAGAATCCAACACATGCATACACGATTTTTATTGTGATATAAAATGCCCTCTGGTAAAATTGTTGCAAACATGGATAAAGCATAATGAAATCCGGTAATGATTCAAAGATTGATAATTATATCCCTTGTTATATAATCATTAATGAATTAATCAAAATGTGGTAAAGTTTTCTGCGTTAACGTTTCAAAAATATGAAGTTTTTAATTTGTTAAAGGAATATTTTTCACGATATTCTCCATTCTCATAGACATATACTTTACAGTAGCGACAGCTGTTGAACGTAAACAAACTGTTATTTTCAAGCAGTGGGTTGATTGCAGTCTACATCCAGATTTGGTTCTAGATATATAAGTACATGTTGTATATCTTTTTATGCTAATACTATGTCCACAATATTATATTTGGTTTTTTATTGTAAAATTATTTCTTAAGACATTCAGTTTTACACAATAAAAACCTCTTAACATTATTATCTGGTTACAAAACAGAATAGTGTATTCTTGGTACCATCTAATTTGCCTGCTACTTTGTAAATACACTATTTTTATTATGTTATTTATAAATGCAAAGCAGCAGTTAGCTCCCTGTCTATATCTACTGCTGTCATCTGTTGGCAGTATAATTTGGCCTGCCTCCATCATCGTGTAGGGAAATGTTATCTTGATTCACGTGAACCAATGTTTTTACAAGCTGTTAGTTCAGGTTACTGTCATACGTACACTGCCTGGCAGAGCTTACTAGTAAGAACACCTGTATATAATTACATAACTGCGCAGACTCGTGCAATAATGTATTTGTGGACGTTAATGTTCATAGCTGTGGTATCTATAAAATATATTACAATTATAGACAAGGTATTATAGGTTTTAGCTTGATTTACATCTAAACCATTTCTAGAACGCCTAGCATATGTTGTATATTTGAGTTCCACACAAAAGCATTTATGAAGAGGGCTTTCAATTAAGAGATTACCAATTTCTCTCAAAAATTAACCTGATTTTCTTCTGGTGTTTCAATGTAGTTTTAACGCAATATTTGCCATCAATCATTATTTGAAATTGTATATTTTTTACCAAAGTTGTAAAGTATCTCTGTTATATTTTTATGACATTGTCCTGTATTTCCTTTATTACTATCCGTGGTAGCCATTTACAATCATTAACGGTTTCCTATCACTTGTTTCAACTTCGACATTGCCGTTCACAAAAATTATTTCTTCATTTTACATTCTTCATGTTGCAGAGCAATACCATTTAAGCTAAAAGACAGAACATCACGAGTAAAAGCAATGTCTGATCACGTTTGTTTAAAATACCGTGCCACATTGACTACTTTTCCACAATAATTTAATAATATAAATATTATCCTCCAATTATTGGTGTCTAGGTAACAGCAATTCCGTAGGCCAACGTTTATTTATCATTGCAGCTATATATACATTTGTATGTTATTTAACATGCAAAATGTTGTAACGAGTTCCGTTTAGTGTGTCTATGTACACTCATACGTGCTCTGAATTAATTGCCAATTTGACTAATGTAAAATTACCACATTTATAACAAACAACATGAATTCCACTTTTTACTTTACAATTATTTTCACATCCGTCTGTTATTAATGTAAAATGATCAAAACGTTTTTCATATTATTGATGCTTAACTTAAACTTTTCAATCAAATAATTATACGTTTTGTTCAAGCATTATTTGAAAGCTTTCATAGAAAGACCATATCGTACATGTATATAAGTGCATAAATTAATAACATCAAAGAATACAACTTTAGAATTGTGTTGGATCTGCTTCGGTAAACGGCTTTATGTTCCACGTGATATGTAAAGTGTAAAAGAGATTCTCAAATTTGGTTTATTGTCGTGAAAATTATAACCATATGCGGTTGTCTGGAGATGTCTAGCTTCGACTACGTTCCACAATAATCTAATGTTAAAGTAATACAAGTCTTAAAGGTTAATTAATTTACTCCGTAGAGTCACACGGTAATGCTTGTCACCTATCCTT